TCTCCAGATCTTTAATCTGGAGGAAAAGGATTAGAGGCAAAACACAAAGTGATGGACTCTGTCCTTCCCGAAAATTAGTGATGACTGCCCAGCTTAAACACCGAGTGCCAATGGCTGAAGGATTCAGTTATGTCTTCTACACTGTCTCTCACCCTATAGAGTTTTTCATCTGCTAGGTCTAAGGAAGACAGCACTAGTTTGAAATGGCTCCTATGGATATTGATAGTCAATTCATATATCAGGACCCGCAAAATGGAGGCCACCCCAGTCAGCCTGCAATTACGAGAAACACGTGTCAAGGAATCCTAACATACACCAAAGTCCTCCAATTCAGCTTTAGCTACTTACCATACCCTAGAAAGTGGACCTGCTACCCTTCTAAGGAAATTCCCCACCTCCTAGCCAGCCACTGTTCTAGGTAATTAGGAAACATCGAGGAATAAGATCCTTGCCTTGGTGAGGTTTATATTCTAGCAGGGGGAGGGGAGTAATATAATGTTTAATAATATACAAGTAAACGTAAAATAAAGTATGTTAGAAGCTGGGATATGATCTCAAAAAAAGTTCAGGGTACAAGGAATCAGAAGTATGGTGACTGTAGGGTAGAAGAGAGTACAATTCTAAATAGAGTGGTTAACAGGCTTCATTGAGATATTTGAGCAAAGACTTGAAAGAAGTGAGGGAGGCAGATCTAAGGAAAGAACATTCTGGGTAGAGGAAACAGCCATTTCAAAAGTCCTAAAGCACTAGGGTTGCTTAGGGTATTTAAGGGACCACAAGGTCGGTATGACTAATGTGGGATGAGAAAGGATAGAGTAGCAAATTAAGACAGAGGGAAATGAAGTTGTATAAGGAACCAGATCTAAATCCTTAGTGACTTGTAGGCCATGACAAAGAGTTTGGCTTAACTCTGAAAGAAATGGGGAGTCACTGAAACGTTTTCCAAACTTTTGGATTTTTGCAATTGCATAGGTTAGAAAATAGTTTTCTAGTGGTTTAAATTTGCGTTTGTCTTATTAGAAAGGTTGAGCATCTTTTCATGTCTAAATGTCATCTTTATTTCCTTTTCTAAGACTACTCAAATCCTTTCCCAGTTTTGAAGAGGTTAGTCTTTCTCACGTTGATTCATAGGAGCTTTTTATATAGGAAATTAGCCTTTGGTCTGTTACTTTAGTTATTAATTCAGTTAACATCTGAAATGGTCTAAACACACCTGGGTTTTGTTTTTGTCTATTGCATTTCAAACTTTAGGACCTTAGTCCTAAACATCGTGATTGTATATGCAATTTAATTCAAACCTCTTTTTTTTTTTTTTTTTTTTACTTAGATAGATGGAAGGGGAAGGGGGTAGAGAAAGATGGAAGGAAAAGTGTTCATGGAGTGGCTTTTCTAGGATGGGAAAAATTCAAGGGGTGTGGGGAGTGAGGAAGAGGAGAACAGGATGACGTCAGGATTCTCTCTGAGCACTGGGCAGCCTCTTGTGCTGTTCCTTGAGCCAAGGGATCCCCATGGAAGTGCAAGTTGGGGAGAAGATGACAGATTCAGTTTTGACCTCATTGGAGAATCAGGAATATGCATGCTTCATGCACTTGTACCTCTGGGGTAAAGGGAGCAGAAACCACTTGTCCGGTGGAGTTTTGATCTTCTTTTAACCTCCATTTCCTACATGGTCCATTATTGGTATTTTTTGTCTTTTTTTTTTTTTAATCAAATATACAGAGAAAAATAGTTTCTAAAATGACAAAACGCTTAGAAGTTATTAGATGTGGTTTTTAATTAACTGAGCGTACTAATAAAAACAGGTAGTAGAAAAAGTATCTTAAGTATCATAGCATGCAAGGGTGATGATGTATTTATTTTATAGCACATTAATTTTTAGTGTAAGTGCATAGTTCAAAGAATGCAAAAAGATACAGTAAAAAGTAACTTTCCCTATTCTTATCTCACCACTGTTGAATTCCTCTCCCTTATAAGCAACCACAATTCCCAGTTTCTTATGTATCCTTTGCAGAGATATTTGCAGATGCATGTATATATATATATAATCTTCAATCTGTTTGCTCTGAGTGGACCCATTCCTAATCTCAGCTATTCAATTTAAATTCACACATTTGAGAATCAGTTATATTGATTGAGATGACACCAGTCAAGGTGTGGAAATAAAGTAGATCAGAGTTGGTTAGAAAGCAGTCAGTTATTCCTGGTGCAGTAGGAAAACAGTAGAGGAAACAGTAACAATTGTTATTTGTATAGAACTTTCACATTATCTTTTTACCTTGCATTAATTGTATAATTTAAATATCATTGTGATCACCATTTTACAGATGAGAAAACAGGCTCAGGGTTGCCAGAGAGCACAAAACCCTTAAGTAGCAGATCTAGGACTTAGATTTAAGTTTCTTGATTCCAATCCTCTGAACTTTTTTCAGTAAGATTCTTAGGTAACTGCCTGAGCTGTTTCAAAAAAGAAAAGGGATTAGTTTATCTAAATTGAGTGAGGAAATTGAAATGAGGAAAAAAGCAACAGAGATAATCTCACCAAGATGGTTTGCTATTGCTATCTTTGGGTGTTACACACATCCCTGTCATATGGTTTGACTTTTCCACCATGACTTCTGCTTATGGGCTAATATCTGGGGTGCTTTTTCGCTAATCGTATTGTTTTCCAGCTTCTTTGGGATTACAGGGGAGCAGGATGAAACCCAAGTTAATGTATGGATTCAGGAAACAAAAGTGATCCTAAATTTTGGTTCTAAGAAGAATAAAGCCTCTGTTAGAGGAAAATGTAAAAGAAAATGCTATTCCAAAATACCTTCTTGTGATAAAATTGAGTGCCCTGGGCATAGATTTTGATGGATTAAGGCCTTAGAATTAACATTTTTAAGTTAAATCGGGCTTTTCAGTTTTTCATTTCTTAAGCCAAGTCTAAAGTAGGTATTAACAATCACTTCATTGTCCTTGTGACTAGGGCTGGTACTACTTTCCCTGCAGGAACCCCGCTTTTTAATAGGACCACGACTTTAGTTTTTCCTTCGAGGAACAAGAACTTTAAGAATGATGAGGTGAAGATTTGCCCCTCCCTCAAACTATCAACTGCTTTTTTTTGACAGTTAGATGGTTAGGTGAGTAGTTTTTTCCTAAGAGGGGCATGTGCTCATCAGGTACCTGTTTAAGGAGCATAGAAAAGCCAGGGGACAAAAAAAAAAAACAAAACACTTTTTTTTGAAAGAATTTCAAAATGAAATAGCCATATCAAGAAAAATAATATGAACTTTATTGTATTTTCTTACACTTATTTTGTTTAGAATTGTTTATATTTTGAATTACATTTGGAAGTGTACACTGTAATCTTTTTAGTCTTGGAGCCTCTGAAAGTCTTAATTAGGTTTTGGACATATGCTCTGGGGAACTCTGAAATATTAAACCACAATAGGGAGGCTAAACATAGAGGCTATCACACAACGAGATTAAAATAGAAACAACCTTTGTGATATATCTGGATCAGAAATAGAGGCAGAGAAAATCTATTTCACTACCCATACTTCATTTTCTATTTAAAAAATCTCCAATTAGCGCTAAATGGGCATGCCACTGGATATTAAGAAAAACAAAACAAAACCATGAACCCTGATTAAAAGTAGGTGAGCATACTGATAAAAGGAAAAAGAAAAATATGCAGGTGAGGTTGGATCTGACAAACTTATCCTCAATGCTAAGCTACAGGAGATTTGATTCAACTGGTAATAGTGAACCCCTGAAGAGTTTTGAGACAGTGACATGATATAAATGCTGCTTGAGAAAAACTAGACTAGTAACTCAATATAAAATGGATTGGAAGAGAAAACATAAAGTGTTGAGAAACTAGAAACCTGGTGGAGGAGGAATGCACAAGATTAATGTGTGGGATGAAGGAACAGGGGATTCAGTGATAACAAGACAGCATGAGTTGGGTTTCTTTGGTGAATATGGCTGTACTGTTTATTGAAAACCAATGACATAGTTTAGTTACCATCCAAAAGAGAGGAGAAAATAGTACTGCTCTATTTCATAAGGGAAATAAGGGTCAAGAGTATTTTTAATCTTGGCCTCATTTCCAATGCCTGTACTTCCTAATAATTCAGGACGATCTGAGAATTATAACTTGGGAAAAAGGAAAAGTCATAAGAGCAAGTGAGTAAATGTAGAGTGACAGATGAAGTGAATCAAGAGATAGAAGATGAAAATGGATAGGATGTGACCTATTCAAAGTCCAAGTTAGAGTCCAGATTCAGCCCTGAAGAGAAGAAAAAGAAACAAATCATGTTTCTCAGTTTTTGTTTGGTGGATAACCTTTGAGACATGTTTCTTTTGTTCTTGGATCATTTTCTAGCCAGTATGCCCCTCAGTTCAAGTCTGGATGATCTGAAAGTAACAGCACAGGAAGAATCAGTATCTTGCACATAGCAGGCATTCAGTAAACATTTGCGGAATGAAGAAATGAAGGTTTTCCAGGAGTTAGTATCCTGGAAGTGGGAAAAGAATCAAAAGAATCAAATTCAGTAGCAAAGAAGAAATGGGCTATAGTACATGTAACTGCAACTCACTGAAAACCAAACTATGTTTAGAATTCCTGAGATCTAGTTCTTTTTATACTGGTTTCTTTGCAAGGCCCAGAATCACCCTCTGCAGTTCTGATCTGGATTTAAAAAGAGATTGATTAGTTATGGCAAAGGCCAACAACTTGAGGCTTCTCAAATCTTGTGATCTTGCCCAAGACCAGCTATAAAAGCCAGGATCGCATGGAGAACTTACTTATACTCCATTTTTCCTAAAAAATTCCAACCATGATATTTGAATCTGACAGACCCAGTGATACTTCTCAACAATTGCTCCAAATCTTTACCACTCTCAACTCCCTACTGCAAGTTGCTCTATTTTCCACTCAGTAGAGCACATAGTAGGTCTGCTTAATCTAGATGTAAGGTGATCACTTTCCAGACAGGAGCTATGAAGAGAAGGCCGTGCTCTGGATTCCCAGATTCCCAGCTTGGCTACTCTTTCCAGGGCTTGGCTTCATGGATTATCTTTTTTTTTTTTTTTTAATCTTCAGTCTCTTTTTGCCTGCTCCTGTCCCTGGTTATTGACATGGTTGTGTTTCCCCTATCCTAGAAAATACCCTTCCCTTCGTCTCTCTTCCACCAAACTTCTTAAAAAGAAGTTTTTACTTCCTAATTCAACTTTCTGACATTCTTTCCATTAGCCCCTTGGGCATAGTAATATGGATTCCACTTGCACTATGCTAAAGAAAAGGGCTCTGGCAAAGGTCACTAAAAACATATGAATGGTAACATATAAAGTTTTGAATTCCTCAACCTATTTGAATTCTCTGCAGTGTTGGACTCCATGGAGTACCTCTTGGCCTCTGAGCTACTGCTCATTTTTATATCTTTGTGGCTAGTTTTTTTTTAATTCACTTCCAAAATTCTGCCCATCCCTGAAATGTTGCTAATTTCTGAAAGTTCTATCCTTAAGTTTCTTCTCATGCCATCACACTCCCTTATATGAACTTGCTCCCTTAGCTTAAGGTACTGTCTGAACGTTCCCAAATCCTCATGTCCAGGCTGTGTCCCCATTCCTGGAACTCTCTTTTAAGTAAGCACTATAGCTTTATTAAAAAACAAATGAACCATTACAGGAGGACTTTCATCCATCTTACCTCCACTAATCCTGACATTTATTTGCTGACAGGAAAGAGAATTAGGAGGGATGATAACCCCTGTTACAGACCCCTTGGCATTGGAGACAGTCCCCCCACAACTGCCCATAACCAATCCTTTAAGTAAAAACTCATAGGAGGAGAGTCTGTGCAGACACCATGTGCCAAAGAATAATGAGATGGTCCTGAAGTCTGCTGCAGCAGTAGTTTCTAAAGGAAGCAGAGCTGGAAGTACCACATGGGGAGTTGTTTGAGTTTTGGGGGGGAATTTGAGTTTTTACTCATTTGAGATGCAGCTTGCAGCTGGTTCCCTAGTTCCAAGAGGCCACCTTCCAGGGTCCAACAGCCTCCTCTTAAACTTTCTACAAGCTTCCCAAACAGTTCTAGAACAGATCAGATCCTTCTGCTTTTACTCCCTTTATAGTTAACAGCAGCACCTTTCACCCTCTTGGCCCGGATGGTAACCTATGTTATTGGGGACTCCTCCCTTTTCAGGAGTGCTCCCTTCAGTTCTAGGCCAAAGACCTCTCTCCAGGCTGGCTCCTTCCTAAGCTGGACAGTCCACCATCTCCATACCTCCAGTCTCTACCCCATTCGATCCATGTGTCACACTGCAGCCAGAGGAATGTGTCCAAAACACGGATTATCTATCACCTTCTTTCGTTAAAACCTTCACTGATAACGTCCAGGCTTTTAGTGGGGCATATGAGGTGCTTTGCAACCTACCTTGATCTGTCTTCCATTTTTGTCTCTGGTGATTCATTCCCTCATCCAAGCAACAACGGGCTCTTGTTTGCATATTTTAAAGACAAGAGGAATCTACTGAAGGATTTTGAGTGAAGGAGTCACATGCTCTGATTTACCTTTTAAAAAGACTACTCTGGCTCTTCCTGAAGAAGGGGTTTTGGTGGAGCAGAAGGGTAAGCTTCGAGACCAGTTCCATGCCTTCAGGCTTCTGCTCAGGCCATTCCCAAGTCTGGAATGACTGTCTTTATTGGAATGGTTCCCAGGGGCCAGAGAGTTGAGAAAGGGCCCCCTTACCACATTTTTCTTAGCCCAGATCAAGCCTCATTTAACGATCAAGAACACATGAGGATGTGTCCTAATATCCTTGCCTCATCAACCCTTCAGTTATTCAGTTATTCAACAGACCACTCACTGGGCGCTGGAGACACTGAGGAGAGTCCACTGAGGCCCCCCAATGTCAAGAGACCATTTTTTCTGTTCCATCTCCTAACTCAAGGAGCAAGTCTCAAACCATGTTTGGTGCCGCGGAGCAATGACAAATCAGGCCCATGGGTTGGTGAGACAGAGAAGCCTTCTCTCTAAGAAAAAAGAGGCCGTCTAGCAAAAGACAGCCCAGCCCTACTCAATTCAAAGAGCCGCGCTGCCTGCTTCAAGGCAGGATGTGGACTACAACTCCCAGCAGACACTCCGCGCTGACTGCTGACCCCTCCGCTGCCACTGTGTCCCGCCGGCTGTGCCCACCGCTGCCCGCCAAGAGCTAAGTCCAGGTGTTTTTCAGGCCCCGGGGTCCGTCTTGTTATCACGTTTCCGAAGAGGGACTGCTAGGGACCCTGGAGGAGAAACGGACTTTTTCGAGGAGAAATGCGGATGCAGACTATTGAATAGACGTCACTCCAAAACTGCCGATTTTCGCGCGCTTTGGCGCGGGTGGTTGTGGGTAGTGCACTCAGGCGGGACAGAAAAGCCGGGTCTCTGTGATCGCGCCGCCCGCAGGGCCTGCGGGGATGTTCGAAGACGAACCCCACGCCGACGGGGCGGCGGTGGTCGCGGCGGCCGGGGAGGTGCTGCAGGCCCTGTGCCAGGAGCTGAACCTGGACGAGGGGAGTGCGGCCGAAGCCTTGGACGACTTCACCGCCATCAGGGGTACCTACAGTCTAGAGGTGAGCGGCCGCAGGTGGGGCGACTGGACCCGTCTCTCGCCAGGCCCCACCCGCGCCCCGCCCCCACCCTACCTATGGGGCGGTGGGAGTTTCCCCACCGAGAAGGGTCGCCGCCCAGCTGGGCGCCGCAGAGTGCGAAACTGAGAGGGCGAATGTTGATCCTTCTTTTTTTTTTTTGAGGCGGGAAACTGAAGTACGGAAAAGGAGTGGCTTGTGCGAGGTCACGCGCCACTCTTGGGTCCCCTAGACTCTAGATCAGACTTTTCCCCGCCAAGCGCCACAGACGTCATGACACTGTCCTTAAATCTATTAAAAAACCAAATACTATAATGACAAAAGCTATAGAATTGCGTGTGTGCCAAGATATCACCGCCCAGCACTTTAAATATGTCATCTCAGTTCTGGCTACAAGTTCTTGAATACGTTCTGTGATCCCCATTTCACAGATGAGAAGCTGAGCCCCAGAGAGGTTGTTACTTGCCCAAGGTCACATGGTTAGTGGTGGAGCCAGACTAAAGCCGTTTGTTAACCTCTCCACCCTTCCGCCTCCGTAGGGCGGAGGTGTGCGTAGCTCACTTTATGGCACAGCACTGCACAGCGGTTCGATCAAAGCCAATATTCGTTCAGGGCTCTCAGCTCCAGGTTCCTCCTGTCTCAGAGGGGGATGCTTATATTATCCTGATGCTTTAGCACGGGGTCAGGCTATCATATGATACGAAATTAAATGTAGGCTATCATTAAATTTTTCCCAGCCATTCTTGCATTTAGTCCTTGCAACAACTCTGAACATGGCAGAGCAGTGGGTATTATACTTGCTTTTCAGGGAATAATATGAAGGCGCAGGGGATTGTCTTACTCTGGGTCATTTTTCTAATTATTATAGAAACCCAGACAAGCATAGAATTGTGATAAAGTGTATTTCAGCAATTTCTCCAGTGGCCTTATACTCAAAGGCTTTCCTGACCCAAGGGGGCTAGACTAATAGAATGCTCCACTGACTCACTACTCGGTGAAATAATTGCAGGATTTAAAGGTATAGAGTTGGGAATTTGGAGGTGAGTATATGTGTGTCTATATATAAGGGAAAAGGATCCAAGAGAGACTCCTCTATGTCTCCAGAGTAGGACTGGATAGATTGGGTAAAGGACAGTGATTTGTATCCATGGGTAGCATGACCGGAGAGCTGAGGAAAGACTAAGAAAGTAAGGCAGATTATGAATTATGGCCTCTCAGAGAAAACAGACGGATTTTTTAAAGTCTGAGAAAGCATTTGTGACACCCCAGGTCCTCATTAGTCTCTTAGTCAATAAACATTTACTGAGTGCCAACTGTAGTCAAGGCATTAAACTAGGCACCTCTTTCAGATTCTTGAACATGCCAAGCTCGTTCCCACTTGTGTGCTTTCTCCATGCCATTCCCTCTACTTGGAAACTTTCCTTCACTGACAACTCCAGGGAAAATTGAAGAGCTAGATCTCCAGTTAGGAAGAGATGATCAGGACCTTTTAAATATTAGATTTAGAAAGCACAGATGTATGATTAAGATTTTGTGAGTGTTTATTCTATCCAGTTTTTTCTTTTTCTTTGTTTTTGGTGAAAGCCTCTTGAAGTAGGCATTTTCATAAATCTGCTTCCTAAGAAACCCTTTCCCCTGTCCCTACCCCTCTCTACCTGACAAGCTCCTTCTTCATTTTCCCCTTGCCCTTCCCTGCGCCCTTTACATTTTGGTGATTTACTACTTACCAGTTTTAAGTCTTCCTCTGTGAATCCTCCCCAGACCTCTAGTTCAAAATCATATTACACTATATTCTCCCACAACATGTTATTTTCATTCCTTATAGCATATATCTTGCCAATTATAGATAATATCTGTTCTTAGCTCTAGACTTGGGGTTCATGAGGTCAGAAACCATCTTTGTATTTCTAAGACCTAGCATTAAGGAATTAGAATGAATAATATGGGGGAGGGGAATCAAAGCAGTAATTTTGGTACTTAAATTTGCTTTATCCTAATGTCGTTTTCATCTAGTAGCGTATATCTAGTAGCCTCTATTATACTTGGATACTATTCCCAAATAATTCATTACTCAAGCCTTCTAAAAATATTCAGTCATAAGCTTGCCTGCCTCATTTAATGCCTTAAGAAAATAAGACTTCCCACTACTTTAAGATAGGAACACTGGGTTTTAGTTTTATTGACCACCCATATCTGCCCATCCCTTTAGGATTATCGTGAGAAATCTATCAATCTTTTTCTCCTTCTAGAGTCTGGTCTTAAGAGGATTGGCAGAACAGTGAATAGGAACAGTAGTATGTTGTGCTGTGAGATTTGTGTCTGACTCTTAAATTTCACATATAGTTCAGCAATGAAGTCATGAAGTGCTTCTAGCTTGAAGATTTCTCCAGTCTATCTCAGCAGACTTGAGTGCTGAATTCCCAGATGTCACCCTTTTTGTAGCATTGTAAATTGAGGTATCTGCTAAGATAGAGAGCTACACTTACTATTTTAAGTACTGGGGTAAATCCCCAGATTTTTACCTCATAAAAATGACAGTCTCCTTTATATTGTGCATGATAGGTATTAATTTTTTATGGGTGATTCCCTTGTCATCTTTCTACTCTGTTCTTTTCTTTCTCTGCCAAACTAGTTAAAAAAGAAACAAAACTAAAATGGTAGAAAGGAACTTCAGCATCATCAAGGCCATGACTGGTATTTTAAAATTTAAAAAGCTAATGCTGAGAAATTTTAAGAGAACTCTTTCAATAATATTAGATTTAGATTATAGGTGAGAGATCTATTTTTGGACTAATACTGATTTAGCATGTTATACAGGACTGAGAGTAAGAAGTTTTATGCCCATTACTGCAACTAACTAAGCTTTGTAACTTTGAGCAGATATCTTCAACTCTCTGACCTGTTATATACAGAATGAAAATTAGACCTGATAATTCTAAGATCTCTTCTGGTTCTAGAATTCAAGCATTTTAACATAATATATTTATTTTGCTGTTTCTTTTGCCTGCCAGGGAGAAGTTATACACTGGTTGGCATGTTCATTATATGTCGCATGCCGCAAAAGCATTATTCCTACAGTTGGAAAGGGTATCATGGAGGGAAATTGTGTTTCACTTACCAGAATACTACGTTCAGCTAAATTAAGGTAAAGCACTTTAATTTTTCAAATGTTTTATAAGTCATAAATTTAATTTTAGAATTTAATTTTTCTTTATTTTAAATCATTTAACTTCATTCTAAGTTTTTTATGTAGATATTCTTTCTCAATTCTCAACTGCCTTTCTTCTTCAAATTCTGACTTTAGCCTGAGGCCTCTATAATAAATCTTTTGTATCTTTAATTTTTTCATTAATTTTTTAAAAGTTGAAAATAATTTCAAGCTTTCATAAAGTTGAAAAAAATAAGAAAAGCACAAAGAACAGCCATTTATTGTTAACCCAGATTCAGCTGTTACTAAAATTTACCTCATTTGCTTTGTCATTTGATCTTTCTTTCTTAATATTTTTCTGAAACCATTTCAAAGTGGTGTACATTATAGCCCTTTACCTCTAAATACTTAAGTGTGTATTTCCTTAAATAACTACAGTACAGTTATCAACTCCAGCAAAGTTAACATTGATAAAATAATTTAATCTACAATAATTTTACCTACCATCTCATTCTAGTTTTGCCATTTGATCCAGTAATGTTTTTAATATCATTTTTTTCCTTCAGGAAAATGTACGATCTCCAATCTGAAATCAAGTATTACATTCACTTATCATGTCTCTTTGGTTTTCTTGAAACAGGAGTATTTCCACAACCTTTGTCTTTTATGACATTGACATTTTGAAGACTATAGTCCATATAGTTTGTTAATAGATTGTTCCTCATTTCGGATTTGTCTTGTGTTTCCTTATGATAAGATGTAGGTTATACATTTCCAAATCCAAAACTACAGAAGTGATTTTGTATCCTCAGCACATCACTATCTGGAGGCACATGATATCCATCTGCCTCTCATTGGTGATGTCAATTTTCATCGCCTGTTCAAGATGTTTTCCTGTTTCTCTACTGTATGGTTAATACTTTTTTTCCTAGCAACTGCTAAGCAATCAGTGGGGCTTGGCTATAGCTTTTACTTGCTCTAGTATCAACCATATGGAACTAATTGCCTGGATACAAACAAAAGAAATGGAGTGATCCAGATTTGGATAGGTGCTAATGTGCTCTGTTTCTTGGTTTTATACCTGTGACAGAACTATTTGAGGTTGTTGTCTGGTTGCTATCCTGGGTTTACAGGGTAGAAGGAAATAAACTTTAATGCCCTATCCAGAGAGGGCAATTAGGTTTCTGTTCATAATAAATTAAAAAAATTCTCAGAATAATTTTGGTTTCTATAAGCGGAAAAATAACAAAGTCAAGACAATTTTTAAAACTTCTATATCAATTTTTGTCATTGATGATAAAAAGAGTATAATTAAGATTTATGGAGTTCAAGTAATTTTTTACTTGAATAAAACTTTATCCATTGTAGTATATAAAAAAATCTGATTTATAGCTATCAATGTTTCTCATCACTGACCATATAAAATTTTTTAAATCTTTGTAATAAGTGTTAGGGCAACTGAACAAAAAATAACTTAAAATTTAGAGCAGTATAAGCTCATGATAAAAATTTCAAAAAATAAGAGTTCTGGAGATGGTAGTAATGGTTGCACAGTGCGAATATACTTAATGCCACCAAACTGTACTCTTAAAAATGGTTAAAATTGTAACTTTTGTTACATAGTATACTTTACCACAATGAAAAAGAGGTTTAAAATTTTTCAAATAGTACAGAAAGGCTGAAGGTAGACAGGTGTTTCTTCTTTTTTTCACTCTCCAGAATTAACCACTATTAACAATTTACTGTTAATAAATTGTTACTCAGAAAAAAAATTGTTTTCCATTTTCTTGGTTATTTAAAAAACATAAATGAGATCATACTACATGTATTGGTCTGCAGTTGCTTTTCTTACTTTATATTCTAGAAATCCATATCACTATATGTGGCTCTACATCATTAATTTTTTTAATGACCCTAGAATATTTTCAGATATAAGGATTTTCATATATTTAACCATCTCCTTATTGATGGACATTTTGGTTGTATCCAGTCCTTTATGATTACAGATAAGAGAACATCATTGAAAATAAGTATTTTAGATAAATTCCTGAAAGTTTAGTGGTGGGTCAAAAGATACGTGTTTTTTAAATGTAGATTAATAAAAAAAAAAAAAATTATGTGTCAGCATTCTTAATTGCTGAAGGAACAGTAGACCAGTATCATCATGTTCATTCAGACAAATAAAGAATTGCAAGTAATGTTGTTATTTGTAATTTAGGCAGTTTTCAAATTTTCAGCTTTAAATGTAATTTTAGATGATTATGTAGACCTTTGTAGACATAGTAAAATACCTGTCAAATATTGTTAAAAAATCATACTGCAAAATACTATGTAAGTATAGATTATAGGTACACATGTAAAGGAAGCAGATTTTTATTAAGTACTTACCTGTGTGCCAGGCACTTTCTTTGTGCTAAGGGTTTGCATGTCTATTCACTTAATCGTAGCAGTGAATCCCATGAAATAAATCTGATTTTATAGATAAGGAAACCAACTCACCAAGAGATTAAATTACTTCCAAGAAGCTATATACCGAGTAAGTGGAAGAGCCTCCAAGTCTGTGCTATTTTACACATGTTGACACACAATATGTATTAGTACGTCTCCGTTTTGAATTTTACTTATATTCAAATTCAGTTTGCAAAAATAACCAAAGCAACTTCCAACTTAAAAAAAGTTTCATGTAAAAATTTCTTTTGCTGTTAAGTGTAGTATTAAAAAGTAGTATCTGTTTAATTTAAATTAATTCATTTTAATAAAGTTATCTGCATCTCTTTAAGTACCGAGAAGTAATTTTTCCACATTTTTTCAACAAGTTTTTCAGTAACTTGTGATTTAAATCATGATGACTTTTATTTATTTTTTCATATTGTAATAGAACCCAAATAAAAAATTTAGTTCATTAAAAATTATTTTTCATGCATTTTAATTGGAATATTGATGATGATAAATTTTTACAAAGTAATTTTCTTTTTTATCTTTTGAGTGCCATTAAAATTAGTAGTGTGTTGCTTTTGGGACATTATGCCTCACATTTATGATCCCTGCTCTATATATTTGTATTTGTTGTGCGGTAAAATATACATAACACACAGTTTACCAGTTTAACCACTTTTAAGTGTACAGTCATTGGCAATAAGTGTATCAAATTGTTGTGCAACCATCACCATCATCCAACTCCAGAAATTTTTCATCTGAAAAGTTTTGAACTGAAACTGCGTAACAGTAACTTCTTTCTCCTCTTGCTAACCCTGGGTAACCTCCATTCTACTTTTTGTCTCTAAATTTGACTTGTCTAGGTAAAAAGGAATCATACAGTATTTGTCCTTTCATGACTGGCTTATTTCACAGCATATGAACACAGCATAATGTCTTTAAGGAAATGGCTGATTCAAAAGCTAGGGCAGACCTATTTTTTCTTTTTTTTTCTCTCTCTCTTTTTTAAAAATTAAATTTATTGGGGTAACATTGGTTAATAACATATATAAACTTCAGATGTACATCTTTATAATACAACATCTGTATACTCTATTGCATGCTTCCCACCTGAAGTCGTCTCTTTCTGTCACCATATATTTGACCACCTTTACCCTTTTCAACCTCCCTCTACCTCTGGTAACCACCATTCTGTTGTCTGTATCTGTGAGTTTGGTTTTTTGTTTGTTCAATTTTTGCTTTTTATTTTATATCCCACATATGAATGAAATCATATAGATCTTGTTCTTTTCTGTCTGACTTATTTCATGTAGCATAATACACTCAAACCTTTTTTTTCCTAATGAACCTGGAACAGATTATGCCAGAAAGTAAGGAAGTGCTCAAAAAAATGTTGGTGACATATCCGAGGGACATAGGTGCTAACTTGTAAAGGTTCCTATTAGTAGCCAAATCTGGGATAATTTGAATATCAAAATGAACAGAGTCTATGGCCGTGTTACCCTGAACACTCCCGATTCCGTCTGATCTCGGAAGCTAAGCAGAGTCAGGCCTGATTAGTACTTGGATGGGAGACCACCTAGGAAGACCAGGTGCCGTAAGTGTTAAAAAAAAAAAAAAAATGAATAGAAATAGTAATGGATTATAATTATGTAATGACCACTAATTCAAAATCTGCATTCCCATGGTGATTCTGGAACCAAGTTATTTCATAGCACATGGAGCGAGGTTTTTGGGGGTATTTTTGCTTATTTATTTATATTTTAATAAATTCAGGCTTTTAATAAAGATTTTTATGCATAAATAAAATGTTTCCTTTTCATCCATTATATGGATTCATTTTAAAGTTGTTTTTTTCCTATTTGTTTAGTTTAATACAGTTTTTTAGTAAAATGAAGAAGTGGATGGACATGTCAAACCTGCCGCAAGAATTTCGAGAACGTATAGAAAGGCTAGAAAGAAATTTTGAGGTGTCAACTGTAATTTTCAAAAAATTTCAGCCGATTTTTTTAGATATATTTCAAAATCCATATGAAGAGCCATCAAAATTGTTTCCACGAAGCAGGAAGCAGAGGTGAGATCCTTAATCTTTACATAATTGACATAAAAATTATGTTATCATCTTACTAAGGGAATTTGTATTTTTAAGTCTGCTTTTTACCAGAGATATCCATTTGCAATAAAATTTAAATTTCTATTAAAATTCATTTCTAATCACCCATGTCTAGAAATTTAAAGTAATACCTTCACTTATTTTTGCATGTTCTGATTATTTTATGCAGATCGGAAAGCCTTATTTAAGTTTATTTAAATGAACCATAGGTCATACTTTGTGAATAGAATTTTATATATAATTTGACTTTATGGTTTGTTATTTATATTTGCTGTTTCAATTTAAATGACAAGTTTGGAATGATATTTAGCAAGTTAGTCATATAAAAGTACATGTTTTTCCTTTTTAGGAGGAGTCCTTGCAGTGTTAAGGAGCTCTTTAATTTCTGTTGGACGCTCTTTGTTTATACTAAGGGTAAGGTGATACTTTCCGTGGTTTTACATTTCTAATGTGGGAACTTGGTGCTACTTGATATGAGAGGTTTCTGGGTTTTGTGTCTCTTTTTTTTCTTTACAAAGGTAATTTTCGTATGATTGGAGATGATTTAGTAAACTCTTATCATTTACTTCTGTGCTGCTTGGATCTGATTTTTGCCAATGCCATTATATGCCCAAATAGACGAGACTTACTAAATCCATCATTTAAAGGTAAGACCTTATTTATTTTTGAAAACTGATTATCAGGTTTTAGAAAACAAGTTTTAAAAATTTACCATATTTTTTTGTCCCCCTTGTTGCTCTTTATACCCTGTCAAACTAGGTTTACCATCTGATTTCCCTAATGCTGACTTCAGGGCTCCTGAAGAACCTCCTTGTATCATTGCTATACTGTGTGAACTGCATGATGGACTTCTAGTGGAAGCCAAAGGAATAAAGGAACACTACTTTAAGCCATATATTTCAAAACTTTTTGACAGGAAGGTACTGTATTTATAATTGTAATTAAATGTTTGAGATTTTTTAGAGGTCAGGAGCAGCAAGCTTAAAGGTAAAAACAATGTTTTAAGCAAGTTCTCAGCATTATAGGACTCAGGGTCAAGATTTCCAGGTTTCAGTCTCTGTCATGATGCAGAATTGGTTTATGATCTTCTTGATTTAAGAAACTGAGCTGTTGAGGAATATAACTATGTACGGTCAAGTAATTACAACATCAGAGGTAATTGTAGCAGGTTCTGATAAAGAATTATGAAAAGCAGGAGGTCAGAATAAGTTAATTTACTGCCACAATTTGAATAATTTCTGACCGTTTACTAAAAGTAGGACAATGTATAACAACTGTAGCTTTAATTCCATGTAAATAGAGCAGAAAATCCCTTACAGTTTTGTAGCGACTTGCAGGCTACCTGCATGCATTTCTGGGTTTTTCTCAAGAATTTACTTAGCTATTTCTGTATTTATAAAGTGACTTGTTTATTTGGGTCTCAATTTCTTACCCAATATTGAGCTATTTAATCCAGCTAGGCCTTGAGTTTTCTCTTTGGTAAAAAAAGGGGAGTTGGATTAGGTCATCACTGTGGTCCCCCTCTTTGCCAATATCATAAGATATTTCTCTAAGCACAAAGTCTTCCCTAACTGGGTTCTTTGCCTCTTATGCAAATTTTTGTATTTAGTCTTATCTTTTCTAAAATATACCTACGTATACTCTTGTCTGTGTGTGTGTGTGTGTGTGTGCGTGTGTGTGTGTGCGTGTGTGTGTGTGTGTATGTGTGTGTGTGTATGTGTGTGTGTGTGTGTGTCATGGCTCCTTATCTGTATGTTAAATATCTCCAGTAAACTTCTAAAGGAACTTAAGGATTATGTATGTCATGCTTTGCAAAAGTAGCACACTAGTGGTCTCTGGGTACGATGACCATACATCTTGGTTTACCTGGATTATCTTGTGTTTGGCTGTTGTCAGCCTACTTATTATAGCAGCTCCTTTCACTCCAAAAGTATCCTGGTTTGGACAGTAGTCCTCTTGCCTATGGGCCACACATGTTTTGTTTGGCCTTTGTAGGGTGTTCTTTATTTCAATTTTTATTTTGTTCAATTTTTTAATTGACATATAAAGACCTTTGATGTGAAAACCTTTCAAAAATCAGAAACTATGGCAATACTGGTTTGAAGTTTCTACATGACTTTACATGGGTAACTGCTGTCAAGCTAAATGATGGTTACCTCTTTTAAGATGGGAAGTGTGCTTTCTGTTCTCAGTTATGTATGTCGAACTATGACTTTGACAGCATTTGATTTTGCAAACCTTGATGTGTAATAATCTAAATAGTGTGGATAAATAAAAGTCTTAATAACAGTGTAGTTTTCCCCCTCACCCGTGATAGCACTTATATTCCCTTTGAATCTTTTGCTTGTCTAACACATAATCATTCAATATATGTTAGTTTTCCTTCTCCACAGACCAGCGTTTAAAATCGGACAGCTTTCTTCAGAATCACTTGAGGAATTTGTTAAAAATGCTACTTCAGCTCAGGACTTGAGGTCCATCAGTTTGCATTTTTAGCAAGTCCCCTAAGTGGTTTTTATATTACTAAAATTTGGAAACCACTGCTGTAGACTAACTTTAAAGTATTTTCAAAACTTGACTTTAAATATTTTTAAATGTGTTATTTGCATGCTAATTGGGTTTTACTGGTCTGAAAGAGATGTTTAGTAGTTCTGTTTTATGTGTGTCTGTTTTATAACAACTACCAGTATAAAAATTTAGATAAATGTCATGTTTTTATGTGTATGTTCATATGCTTAATTATATGATGTTACAAAATTCTTCCCAGATTTTAAAAGGAGAATGCCTCCTGGACCTTTCCAGTTTTACTGATAATAGGTAAGTATCTAGCGCTAATGAAGTCTAGTATTATAGGCTATCAGTAATGATTTGTTGCAATTTAAGTGAAGCATTTTATCAAGGTAACTCCTCCAAATCTAGTTCCTGTTGTTTTAGTGGCATTGAGTGGGTGTTGTCACCAAGCCTTGATGTCTTTAAGTACATTTTAAAAAACCATTGTCACTTAAGACAGCTCCTCTCCAGAGAAAGACATAAACAGACCCAGTGACTTCTATATTTGAGTTTATATTCTTTTATTAATCAAATGTTGGCAAATTCAGAATGTGTTTATATTTCAAAGCGACTATTTTTTCTTCAATGATCAGATCTTAATTAGGTTCATATAGTTTTCAGATTAAGTATATATTCTCTTTTGCTCACCTTTTGAAGTAAGTTATTGTTGTGTATGTGAATGTGAAGAATGGTCATCAGATAGGAATTTCTGATATCATTATATGTGCAGATTTAATGAAAATTATAAAGTCATCAGCTTTTCCACGCTATGGAGTCTAAATTTATCTTCACATCAAGATAGATCCATTGTATTTTATTTTATTATTTAGTTTTATTGTAGCAGCTTAAAGTAATTCTCTTTTCAGCAAAGCAGTGAACAAGGAGTATGAAGAATATGTTTTAACTGTTGGTGATTTTGACGAGAGGATATTTTTGGGAGCAGATGCAGAAGAGGAAATTGGAACTCCTCGAAAGTTCACTGGTGACACCCCATTAGGGAAACTGACAGCACAGGTTAATTTGGAGTGTAACCTTCAACAACACTTTGCAAAAGTAATATAACCTAGCCTGGCCTCAGTCTTGAATGATCTTTTTCTCTCTGTGTGTGATTCTGCTAACAGCAGAAGCATCTTTCAAGTTAAATCTTGAGTTTCTTCTACTAATTCATATTTCCCATGAAAGCCTGAAAAGGTAATTTCTAAAACTATGGCATTTAGTATTTTTACTGTTCTTGCTATTTTTCATGTTTTGGATATATTTTCCCAGAACACCTGGGTTTTTCAGTAGAGTATGTACTTTGGACGTAAAGAAGGATTTATGTTTTCTTACCATTCTTTCTTTGCCTTGCTTTAGCCACGGTTCTGTTGCTTTAAAATTTAGTTTGTTTTCTTACCCATGTCGAACTATGTACTATTCCCAAATTTCAGCCATATAACTCTGGACTTGATATTAATAACCAAGGCTTAATTCTGTATTAATGTGTAAAATGGGTTGGAGGATGAGGTCTAATAGAAAAATCACTAGTCTAGAAGATAGAAAACCTAAGTCTGATTCCAAGCTCTGCCATTAACTTTGTCACCTTAAATTTTTTAACTTCTCTGTGCCTGTTCCCTCATATGTAAAATATGAATGTGTATGTTGTATTTCAAATGAATGTTATGAAGAGAAAATGAGATTATAGATAGTAAGTACTTTGAAAAGTGTTACTCAAATGTAAGGATGTTATTAGCATAATAATGTTACCAAAAATTTGGTAGTTAACCAGGAGAGTGAGGAAAAAGTAACCTCTTAAATATAAATAGAGAAGATGGTATATGTGCTGAATTAAACACATCATGAGGGGTAAGGTAACTTTTTAACCTCACAGATTTTTCTTTTTTGTCAGAAAACATCATTTGCACCTTCTACCCCACTGACAGGACGGCGATATTTACGAGAAAAAGAAGCAGTCATTACTCCTGTTGCTTCAGCCACCCAAAGTGTGAGCCGGTTACAAAGTATTGTAGCTGGACTGAAAAATGCACCAAGTGAACAACTTATAAATATTTTTGAGTAAGTACAATATTATTATTTTTCTAAATGTCCCTTTTTAGATTCCGTATTCCATTCCTTTTTCAATATATTCAGAATTCTTAAGATAGTAGATATACATTTGGCAAGTTTTACTATACCATTTCAATTACAAAGTATGTTGGCCTAAAATTAGGTAGAAATACCTACCAAAAATTAGATGTAGATATTATTTCATATTATTACAGACTTTTAAGTTTAAATACATCTTAAGGGTTATTGAGCTCTGACATTCCACTCTTATAACTACCCCGAGGTTATGCATTATTGTCTTTCTTTTTACAGTGTCTTTAAATGGGTTCAATTTACATGCCCATCAGATGGGGGATTTATTACATGTTGATGGTGCAGCCATAAAATGGAATTTTATGCAGTCGTTTAAGAAAAAGAGGCAAATTTCCTAGTGAAGATGATAAAATGAAGTCAGATCAGAGAACCTTCTTTCCTAATACTTAATGAAATAAGAGAATAATAGTAAAAACCAGCAAAATCTTTACCAGTAGCAACCAAATAAGGTGAGGGATATGATTTTATGCTATAAATTTTCAGAGGGGTTGTTAACAAAGGAAATAGATAATTCTGGTATTCCCATCTCCAAGAATGCTCATTAATACCCAGATGTGGAGAGAAACAAATGGAGTGAGTAGACAGGTGGGTGAAATGTCAGAAACCTCCCCAAGTGAAAGTCCCTGTATACCACCACCAAGATCATGGCAGAAATGTGAAAAACTCAAGGCCTGCCATTTTCTAAAGTCCCATACTAATTTGGGGAAAGATCCTCATAGAACTAGAAGATATCCCTGACTAGGTGTAGTAAAGCCTGGAATGAAGACATTTCACTAAATCTCAAAAGAGAAATCAAAGCCTTGGTCCTCCGGCAAAAGCTGACCATAGCAGCTGAGTTCTACCCCTACTCCCTAAACCTTCAGTCTACAGAAAAGTGGACAGAACAGTCCCCAGCCTCAAACACAGTTCAGAAGTTAAGCAGATTACAGGTAAGGTAGGAAGGCTATTGTGAAGATCTCATAACATTTGATTAAATAGATCTGGACTGAACTCCCCATTTAAGCATGAACAAGGTGAAAAGAAGTGGCAGGTCAAATATAGCAACAAGAGAAGGAAGGAAGGAAACAGTGCAAAAGACAACCTAGAAACATAAATGGAAGACATTCCATGTTCATGGATTGGAAGATTTCATGTTAAAATGTCCATATTTCCCAAAGCGATCTACAGATTCACTGTAATCAATATCATATCCCAAAGGCATTTTTTCCAAAGTAGAAAAAAAATCGAAATTCATATGGAATTTCAAAGGACCTTTAATAGCCAAAATAATCTTGAGAAAGAACAAAGTGGAGGCCTCACACTTCCTCATTTCAAAAGATATTACAAAGCTACAGTAATCAAAACAGTATGGTATTGACATAAGGACAGACATATAGACCAATGCTCAGACAAGAGAGCCCCAAAATAAATTTTCATGTATATGGTCAAATGATCTTTGACAAGGGTGCCAAGACTACACTGTGGGGAAAGGATAGTCTCTTCCACAAATGGTGTTGGGAAAATGGAATGTCTATATGCAAAAGAATGAAGGTGGACTCTTATCTTACACCATATGTAAAAGTTAACTCAAAATAGATTAAGCCTCTTAACATGAGACCTGAAACTATACAACTAGACGAAAACAGGAAGAAATCTTCGTGGCATTGGATTGTGCAATGATTTATTAGATATGACACCAAAAGTACAAGTAACCAAAGCAAAAATAGACAAATGGGACTATATCAAACTCAAATACTTCTGTATATCAAAGGAAATAACAGGGTAAAAGACAATCTGTTGGAAGAGGTGAAAGTAATGTGAACCGTATATCAGGTAAAGAGTTGATAGCCAGAGTATATAAAGAATTGCTACAATTCAATAACACCCACCCCCCCCCCAAATCACCTAATTAAAAAGTGGCGAAATGACTTGGATAGACATTTTTCTAAAGAAGATATACAAGTTGCATATGGAAACAATTCTGAAAAACAAGCATATGAAAAAAAGTCTGAACATCACTAATTATCAGAGAAAAACCACAACGAAATATCCTTTCACACTCATTAGAATGGCCATTATCTAAAACAGGAAATTACAAGTGTTGAGTATGTGAAGAAATTGGAACCCTGGCACACTGTTGGTGAGATAATAAAATGGTATAGCTGATGTGGAAAACAGTATGGAGGTTCCTTAAATAATTAAAAATAGAATTTATATGACCTAGTTATACTACTCCTGGGTATATATCCAAAAGAATTGAAAACAGGATCTCAAAGATATTTGCATACCCAAATTCATTGCAGCATTACTCAAAATAACCAAGATGTGGAAACAAATATCCTATCAGTGGGCGAATGAGTAAAGAAAATGTGGTAAATACAATGGAACATTCAAGTCTTCAAAAGAAGGAAATCCTGTCATGCTACAACATAAATGAACCTTGAGGACATTATGCTAAATGAAATTAGATACTGCTACGCAGCATCTAAAGTAATCAAATTGATAGAAATAGAAAGTAGAATAGTGGTTGCCAGGGGTTGAGGGAGGGGGAAATGAGGAGTCGTTCAGTGGGAATAGAGTTTCAGTCATGCAACATGAAAATGTTCAAGAGATCTATTTTACAACAGTATGCTCATAGCAATACTAAAATATACACTTAAAAATTAAGAGGGTAAATTCATTATGTTTTTTACAACATAAAAAAAGACAAAGAACCTAGTTAGAAGAAAAAAATTCAAGGAGCAGAGTTCTGCGTTAGAAGAACTTGATAAGAACGTATTTTTGCTATGTATGCTACCTACCTGTCCGAATATGATACTGGTCTGTTCGAACATGCTGAGTAGGAGTGCCGAGCCCTGCACTAGTTATTTGGCTTTGGGCAAATCACTTTCTTTTTCACAGTCTTGGCTTTCTTTGTCATTTCTGAATTTGGTAGAAAGGTAACAATATAAAGGTAACAGGGTTAATTGCTTCTTGCCAAGTATCTTCCTTTTTAGTGCTGTATTTGTCTATTTGTTATTCTTTTGGCTTAGATAAGAACTACATGCAGTTTATTGTTCCCATTATAAGTGGGTGTGTGTGTAAACAGTGTCACATCATCTTTCTATTTTGAATCTAAGGTTTATTGAAGTGTAGTTTATATACAATAGTTCTTTTCACTGTATAGTTGTATGAAATGTAGAGTTGACAAATATATAACAGTTGTGTAACAATCACCACCATAATCAAGACATAGAATAGTATCATTATTCCCCCAAATTTGTATTCATCCCCTATGCCATCCCTAGCCTCTCGCAACCACTGATATGTTTTCTGTCCCTATAATTTTGCCTTTTCTAGAATGTCACATAAATATAAGCATAATATAGAAGACATCAACTCTTCTAATGTTGAAATTCCAAAACAGTATGCCAATTGATTTTATTTAGAGGCTGTAGAGTTGTTTGAAATATTCTGTTTACATGTTTAGATTTACAACTGAGAATAGAACTCTGGTCACTAAAAACCAAACTAAACCAAACAAAAATTCTTGAAAGAAGGAGTGTTGGTAGTCTGGCATTTTTTTTCCTGGTAATTGGGTTCCTGTTTTATTTCATAGATCTTGTATGCGTAATCCTATGGAAAACATTATGAAAATAGTGAAAGGAATAGGAGAGACTTTCTGCCAACACTATACTCAATCAACAGATGAACAGCCAGGATCTCACATAGGTAAGAAGATAAAACTAAATTTGACACAGCATTGAAAGTAGACAGATTGTCCCCCAAAAATTAGAAATTCAAGTTTTTTCCTTCTCTACTATTCTTAACTTACTAGATTTAAGTTTTGTTCTTTTGTCCTTAACAGCTGCATTTATTAGCACATTTTTCATTTTCTTATAGACTTTGCTGTAAACAGACTAAAGCTTGCAGAAATTTTGTATTATAAAATATTAGAGACTGTAATGGTTCAGGAAACACGAAGACTTCATGGAATGGACATGTCAGTAAGTAAATCTGCTTTCTCAGCCACTGGCAAGGTCCAGAAATCCTAAGCCTGGAAACAGTGTATTGAGAGGCTCTATAATACATTGTGGGGGTCAGAGGTTAATGGCAAAGTTAGCAAAGATGACATATTACTTGGCTGTAGTTGTCTCTGGCACATCCAGGCAGCCACCTCTAGGCAGAAATGTGAAATATGTAAAATTCGTCTTTGGTACACCATCAGTATCCATTCAGGTTCTTTATTTTGTTCCTCATTCCCAGCTACCTAATAATGATTAGGCCAACTAATAATTAAGATATTTGCCCATACCTCCCAGGGATTTTAGAGAAATAAAATCTTGGTGGTTTTTTTTTTTAAAAAATTGCTTCATTTTCTTTGCACATTTGATCAAATCTGACCACTCTCTCCAGTAGCTACATAAAGGAATTTTTCTAAGAAGTCCAACCTGTCCTATGATCTATTAGTTTCCTCCCCCTCCCTCTTATCACTCTTAAGAGTCTCTGACCTTCAATTCCAGTAGGAACAAGTTGATATCTAGGGGTGCTGCATAACTATTATAATAAAATTTCTCTTCGTTTTCACCCTGGGGATTTTCATCTCTCTTCTTTGTTGATTCTCCTTTTTTCTAGATTACATGTCTTTCTCTTTTATGATCTATGCTAATATTTGATAGAACATATCCTTCTTCTATAGATTACTGAGAAAGAAGTAAATTTTTGAATTTTTATTTTGGAATAATTATAGATTTACAGAAAGTTGTAAAAGTAGTACAGAGAGGTCTCATGTACTCAGTTTTCACCAGTGGTTACATTTTATATAATACAATATCAAATTAAGAAACTGACATTGGGACAATGTATACCTCTCCCTCTTAACGGTTGTTGTCACATGTGTAGACTATATAACTGCCACCAAAATCAAGATACAGAACTGTTCTGTCACTGTAAAGATCTCCCTCATGCTACTCCTTTATAGTCACACTCACTCCCTTCAGCCACTAATATGTTTTCCATTTCTACACTTTTGAAACACTGACTATATGAGTTCAATTCTTTTAAATTTGTTGAGGTTTATTTTATGGCATAGGACATGGTGTAGCTTGGTAAATTGAAAAGAATGTGTATTAGGCTGTTGTTGGATAGAATGTTCTGTAAATGTCAATTCTGTTTTGTTGCCTGATGGTGTTATTGAGTTCTTCCATATCCTTGCTGTTTTTCTGTCTAGTTCTACCAATTATTGAGAGAACGGTATTGAAGTCTCCAGATATAATTGTGGATTTATCTAGTTCTCCTTTCAGTTCTATCAGGTTTTTTTTTTAATTCACATATTTTGAAGCTCTTCTGTTTGATACATACAAATCAAGGATTGCTGTGCAAGAATTCTTGGTAAATTGATCATTTTATCATGATAAAATGTCTCTCTTTGAACCTGATAATTTTCCTTCTTCCAAAGTCTATCAGATATTTATAGCCACTCCTGTTCTCTTGATTAATGTTTGTATGATATATCTTTTTATATCCTTTTGTTTTCAAGCCAGCTGTATTATTGTCTTTGAAGTGAGTTTCTTATAGTAGGCAGCATAGAATTGAGTCATGTGTTTTTATCTACTCTGTCAGTCTCTTTTTGTTAGTAAATTTAGACCACTTAACATTTAATTAATTGATATGTTATGGCATAAGCCTACCATTTTGTTTGTTGTTTTCAATTTGTTCTGTTTTTTATTTCTCTATTTTCTTTTACCTACTTTCCTATGGATTACTTGAACATTTTTTGACTAGAATCTCTTTGTATTGATTGTTTTAGTGGTTGCTCTGGGCATTACATCATATATACATAACTTCACAGTCCACTGTTATAGACCATAATTATTTTACCAGTTCGAGTAAGGTGTGAAAACTTTACCTTGCCTTGAGTCCCTTTTTAAAACTCTTCATGAATGTATTTTAGACTCACATTTGATTGATAATTGTGTATGGAATTCTGTATTGACAATCATTTTCCTTAATGATTTTGAAGACATTGCTCCATTATCTTCTAGATTCCAGTCACTAATTTGAAGTCCAATGGCATTCTAATTCTCAGTTTTGATATGTGATCGTGTTTACTTTCTGGAATTTTAGTATCTTTTTATTACCGATGTTCTGAAATTTATAATGAAATGCCTTATTGTGGATCTTTTTATTCATGTGTTAGATATTCCTACGGAATTGCTCTTTCAGTCCTGAAATTTTCGTCTTGTGGTTTTGGGTCATTTTATTGCATTATTTCTTAGATAATATATTGCCTACCAATTTATCTCTCTGGAACTTTTATTTTTTAGATGAGGGAACTTGGATTGATCTTATTTTCTTCTCTGTTTTTTCATTTCTTTGTCTTTTTGTTCTAATTCTAAGGATATTCAACTTTTCATCATCCAATTCTAATGAACTTTTTATTTTACCTATATTTTCATTTCTAAGATCTCTTTTTTGCTCCCTGAGATTATTAATTGATATTTCTTTGAGGTTTTCTCTTGTTGCCTACATTATCTGTTTCCTCTGAGTTTCTTTCCTGTATGTTTTGTATCTTTATCTTTCAATCGGAGGCTTTCCTCAAATGTTGGATTATTCTTAGATAGTCACTTATATTTGAATGAAGCACTAAAAATGAAACATTAATAAACCATTACGTTGACAAAACAGTTTGGTTCAAAGTTCTGTGTGCAAGAGTGGGCCTAAAAGTACAACAGCCTCGGGTGATCATGTAGTATTAGGGACCCTCAATTGTTGGTGTTCTTAAAGGGTTTTCGGTAATATTTCAGTTTCTCTAGAGAAGTATCTGCGAATCTCTTGCCTTGCTGTTAGTGTTGTGGAACAGAACAAGGAAGGGAAATGTGGTCTCACAATTCAGTCTGCAGACTGTCACCTAAATCCTTAGTCTCTTCTATGGCTCATATTCTCGAGTTCGGAGTCTCTCTAGTTCAGTTCTATACAGAATAATTCTTCAGATCCCTGTTGGGATAGACTAAAGGCCTGACATCTGACTCCTTACAGTGGGGGGTTGGGTAGGTAGTTCTAACTACTACAAACTTTCAGATCATCCGTCCTTGTTGGCCTCTGGCCCAACCCCTACTTTCTATTCTGCCTGTGCCTTCAGTTGCTTTGTTTCTTCCCAGGTTGCCTAGAGCAGACACATCTGTTTTAAGTATCTCTCTTTGGGCCCTCACGTTTGACTGTCCTACTTTCTACTGAATAATTTGTCATCCTTCCATCCCCTTCCAGGTTTCATATGTTATGGTTAGCAGTTACGGATGACTCCTAGTTTTTTCCAAAATAGTTTCTGTTTCTTATTCTCTTTGTTGATTTGGAATGATATTTTTTTTCCTTTTTTTTTTTTAAATGCGTACAGCACCCGGTATTCCTAGGTGCTCACCCCCATCCAAGTACTAACCAGGCCTGACCCTGCTCATCTTCAGAGATCCGATGAGATTGGGCATGTTCAGGGTGACATGGCCATAGACTGGAGTGATATTTGAAAGAAGGATGGCGACAAACAGCATATTTAAAACTGAAAACTGATGTTAAATCTTAAACTCAATGATGAACCAGGACATTCTCTTCTTAGTAAACTATTTCTTTCTCTGAGCTTTTTAAAGTCTTAGCTGTGACATTCTAATACCTTCTATTTTAGTGTTTTGATTAATAAACCCTTATGTTGTCATAAAACTGTCATTTAAAAAAAGGAACTAATCCTAATGCTTTTCTCTTGATGATGGGAATATTGACAATTTTATTATTTACTCAATTTTCAAAGCAGACTGTAGTGTATGCCTCATTTAAATATATCTACTACTGAGCAGGATTATGTATTATAAGAAAACTCCTTACCAGTTTGTGAACTCAAAATTTTTATCTCTGATAATCTAGTATAATATAATGTGCACAAGTTATTTTACCTTGTTTCTATAGTCTTCTTTATAGAATGGCAAAGGCTGAAATTGCTAGAAATATTAAATGATGGTCTTTCTCTTCTTTAAGGTTCTTTTAGAGCAAGATATATTTCATCGTTCCTTGATGGCCTGTTGTTTGGAAATTGTGCTCTTTGCCTACAGCTCACCTCGTACTTTTCCCTGGATTATTGAAGTCCTCAATTTACGACCATTTTATTTTTATAAGGTGAGACAAAAGCAAAGTTCTATTGTGGTATACCTCACATAAGCATCCTATTTATTTTAGTGCTGAAGAAACAAGCCGTAGTGATGTTTGAAAAATCTTTCCAGAGGTATTCTGAAAACATATATTCCTTTGAGTGGTATTAAAGACAAAGGAGATGGATGAGGGTATATGTAAAATAAGCCAATCTCACAGCTTCAGTTCATTTTCCCATCACTGACTTGCATGATCAGAAACTAAGTAGTTAACTTTGAATTTTTCATATTTATGAGTGAAAATCATAATCCTGTTAAATAGGATAAAAAGCAAAAAGTCTTCCTGCCAGGAGAAAGAAAAGGTCTGTAATTAATTATGGTTATCGTCTAGATAATGAAGCTGTAATAACAGATTGTGCTTCTTCCCCAAATTTGAGCTAATTCATTGTGGATGAATCTTATTATTTACTTATCCTATTTTTCTGCTAGAACTATTTTTATTGACCTTTTTCTTAGGTCACAACATAGAGGTCACAGCTATAATAACATTTAATGTTACCCAGTGTACAAATTTAAGACTGAGGCTACCGTGACACTAATTGGCATGACTTAGTTAATATTTTGTTATCCAGACTACTTTCAAACTATTGATGATAGAAAGTTAGTTTGAAGAGTTAAATTTTTACACCTAAAATATGACTAAAGTTGTAGGAAATGCAGATCATTGGAAAGCTTATTTATTTAAATTGTTGACCAAGTAGGATTTAAATATTTTTTTGGTTTCTTAGAGACAGTTGCTTCTGCATACTTGCTTTAATGTTGATGTGTGTATCCAGCTTTTCTATTAGGAAATATATATAATTTTATTTAAGGAAAAAGTTGTTTTTGCCCTCACTTAATAGCAGTTTATTTTTATTTATAACATCCTTTTTTCATTTAAGCAGTTAAATGCCTTTATTTTTAACCACATAATTTATACTTCTTTAAGAAAAACAGAAAATACACATAAATGTAAAAATTAAAACTACATATAATTCTAATTATAGATAAGAGTCACTATTAATTTTCTTTGTGTAACTTTGTTTTAGATATTTACTCTTATTGAAATGGAATTATAGTATATATAAACAAAATTTCTTTTAAATATGTTCTTTTGAGCTATTAGAAGAATAGTCTGAGAAGGGGCAGTAAATTCAAAATAGCTCTGGACTGGGAACCCAATGCCTGACTTCTACCACTATTGGGCTGTTGACCAGTTTTCACCTATAATGCCTCAGTTTTCCATGTATAAAAGAAAATAAAAACAAATGTATGTGAAAATATTTTGAAGATCTAAAAACTCCTTTATAAATTAAAACATATTAATAAGCCATGGAATTATGGTTCAAAGATATCGTTGGTTCTATGTAATTAATAAGACCAGAGCTAGCCCTACATGCAGGCCTAGTTTAGAATTGTCTACTTGAGACTACATTACCATCTAAATATTCTTGTCTCCAGGTTATTGAAGTGGTGATCCGCTCAGAGGAGGGACTTTCAAGGGACATGGTGAAACACCTGAACAGCATTGAAGAACAGATTTTGGAGAGTTTAGCATGGAGTCACGATTCAGCATTGTGGGAGGCTCTCCAGACTTCTGCAAACAAAGTTCCTACTTGTGAAGAAGTGAGTCAGGGCAAGGCTGATAATCCTGTCATTTTATAAAATAACAGCTTTATTGAGATATAATTCACATACCATAAAGTTCACCCTTTTAAAGTGTCCAAGTCAGTGGTTTTTAGTATATTCATAGATGCAGTTGTCACCACTGTCAATTTAAGAACATATTTATCATCTCAGAAAGAAACCACACCCATTAACTATCACTTCCCTATCCCCTATCTTCTCCCTAGCCCTAAGCAATCAGTAATCTGCTTTCTGTTTCCATTGGTTTGCCTTTTCTGGATATTTAATATAAACGGAATTACACAATATATGATATTACTTTGTGACTGGCTTCTTTCACTTACCATAATGTTTTCATAGTTCATCCATGTTGTGGTATGTATCAGCACTTCATTCCTTTTTATTGCTTAATAATATTCCATTGCATGGATATACCATTTTGTTTATCCATTTATCAACTGATAGACATTTGGGTTGTTTCACCTTTTGGCTGTTATGAATAATGCTGGTATGAACAGTCATGCACAAGTTTTTCTGTGGACATACATTTTCATTTTTCTTCGGTATATGTCTAGGAGTGGAATTGCTGGGTTGTATAGTAATTGTTTAAGCTTTGAGGAAACTGTCAGACTGTTTTCCAAAGTGGCTGTACCATTTAATATTCCTACTATCAGTGTATGATAATTTCAGTTTTTCCATATCCTCTCCAATAGGTGTTTTAGAACTTCATTCTAGTAGGCATGAAGTGATATCTCATGGTTTTTATTTGCATTTCCATGATCGCTAATGATGTTCAACATCTTTTCATGTGCTCATTGACCATTTGTATATCCTCGTTAGAGAAATATCTATTCAGATCCTTTGCCCATTTTTTAATTGGGTTATTTATCTTTTTATTATTGAGTTATAGGAATTCTTTATGTATTGTAGACAGAACTACCATATCCAATATGATTTGCAAAACTTTGCTCCCATTTTGTGGGTTGTCTTTGTCCAATTTATCTATTTGTTTTCTTTTGTTGCTAATGCTTTTGACGTCATATCTAAGAAACCACTAATTCCATCATTTTAAATTTTTCAAATGTCCGTGTGAAGAATTAAATGTTTTTAGTAGTATTTAGAATAAAAAAGTCAAAAATTTGCACCTACTACATACAAATAACACATTTAACATTTTAATACTGCATGAGAAATATTTTTCCCTCCACCCTTGTGTTATTTTTTTTGTAACTCCTATCTTTTCATCTTATTTTTGCTTTTCTGTGTCTCCTTATGGTTTAATTTCTTTGAACTTTTCCTCAATCCCAAACTATTGAAGGAACTGCCCAAGACCAGGAAGAACTTAAAAGAAAATGGTTTCTTGAAATCTGCCTTCCCTTCATCTTTTGCAGCACTGTGACTAATGGGGCAATCTTCAGTAGTCATCAATATTTCCATTGTAGAATCTATTGGGAAAATGAAAAAAAGCTATGAACTTGATGGAAAAGGATTTGAGTTGAAGCTCTTGCTCTTTTACTTAGTAGTAGTGTGTTGTTGGGCAAATTAAACATTTTGAGCCCCTAGTTTCTCATTTCTAAGTGGAAAACGATAGTGTGTACCTCACAGGTTTACTTCTAATGATCAATAAACTTAAATAGATAAATTATAAGATTAAGTAAGATGAACTCTTTACATACATTTAACATTAACTATTGAGCACTTTATGCAATTTGTTACATTTTATGGAGAAGAAAGAAGGAAAGGGAAATAAAATAGTAAAAGAAGTTAAGACTTTTTTCTCATTTTTTCTGTTATAAATTTTCATCAGTGGATTTATCTGTATATAAAACAAAGGGCTTTTGTTTTTTACAGGTTATATTCCCAAATAACTTTGAAACAGGAAATGGAGGAAATGTACAGGGACATCTTCCTATGATGCCAATGTCTCCTCTAATGCATCCAAGGGTCAAAGAAGTTCGGACTGATAGTGGGAATCTTCGAAGGGGTAGGTTCAACATTGGCAAAACAGTGAAAAATAACAAAGATAATTTTTTTAGAGAAAATTTCAAGTCTTAATATATTATTAAGAAATCTAATTTCTTCATCAGGATTTGAAATGGGGTTTAATGCTTATGTCAGCAACTTTGTGTGGCTCATTTTATACTTTTTTATATTAAAGTAATAAGATTTCCAATCTGATTTTGAATATAATCTATTTTTTCATTGTAATACGAACTATTGAGAAAATAGTATTTTGGCCTTTCCTAAATGCTAACAACCTTTCCTAAATACTGATATAAAACTATTTAAATAAGTTAAATACCTACTTTCCAAATGTGACAAGTTACAGTCTTTCTCTGTCTGTGCATGTCTCTATAGAAAGGTAAATATTTAAAGCAGAGTATGTAACTCTTTGGGATGCTTAAGTTCATCTAAAAAGTGACTTCGCCATATTCTCTTAAAAATAGTTCATTTGAGCCTTCTTAATAGGAAGATTTTAGTGCATTCTTCCATATTTTCTCTTGTCATATAGCAAACTGATATGTGCTTCTATTGGATTATGTGGGTCTTGAATTTTTTTTAAAAATCAGAATCTTTTGACCTGAACAAACTTCAGATGAGTAAGTATTCAGCTTACATAGTAAAGTAGCTATAGATCCATTTGCGAACTGTGTGTGTATGTGCGCGTGCACGCATGCTTGCATATGCTTTGCTTTACATGTAGTGCAAGATATAAAAATGTGTAAGCTGTCATGTAAAACAGTCTTTATAAGCAATGGAAATAATTAGGATGACCTTTAAAAATCTTTTCAAAACTTTAAAAATTAAAAATTCTCTATCGGTTGTTTATGTTTAGAGAAATGAGAAAATAGTTCATATTTACTTAGTACAGTATAATTTAAAACACTGGAAACATTGAGAATAAAAATGTTTTACTTATTTTTTTAAAAACTTACAAAGAATATTTTAAACAATGCTTGCCACCTTCTCATATAACTTGTAATACTGAGTGAGCATTTTTTTCATTGGCGAACTGGCATGTTCCTTTGTAAACTTGGATCAGCTTTCAACATTTTATTCTTTGTGCTTTCAACGCTGTGAAATATCTGAGTTGCCATCATCGCTCTGTGTTGGACATCTTCATCCTTTTTATTCCTGCAACTTTCCTTTTATATCAGTAAGCTTCATCCTCACAGACTACTTCTGGCTATGTAATCTCTTGAACAGTGGCAGTGTCACCATTACTAGAGTCAGCTTTTCTTCTATAATTTTATTGACACTGTTTCAATTTCACTTTCATCATTTTCACTTTTTTGTACTTTTATCTTTTTTTTTTTTTTTGGATATTTCTCTCTTTTATCTATTTTGTAAAATGTTGGGTGGTCTTATCACTGGGAGACAGGGAGGCAACACAACTCTGTGCTTTTCTGTCTGCATAAATTGAATAACAGATGTTCCCTGACCAGTCACTAACAGACTTTGAAAGAAGTGACATGACTGGTCACTGATCATGAGGCCCATCTGTTATTTACATAATGATTTGTGGACTGAAGTTTGTAGTTTATACATTTACTCACAGGCAATATACCATGGCAACTGAAATTTGAAATTTGAACTGTTTTGTTAGGGCTGTTATTAATTTAAACTGTGGTAGCTGAAATGTCTGCATATTGGAACTGCACAAAGCATGAACTCCGTATGTGTGTATGTGACACACAGACAGACAGACTGTTGAGAGAGAGTATGTATCTCTCTCTAGCCTAGCTAGAGATCTGAGAACTAAGATCATGAAGAATGGTCACCAAAATGTGATTCTCTCTAGGTGGTGGGATTTTGAGTGAGTGTTACTTTCTTCATTTTAGTTTTTGGTATTGTTTGAATGTTTTTCAGTGTTTTTTTTTTTTTTTAATTGAGATGTAATTCACATACCATAAAATTAAGCCTTTTAAAGTATACAATTCAGTAGTTTTTAGAATATTCACAAGACTATACAATTATCACCATTATCTAATTCCAGAACATCTTTATCACCCCCAAAAAGAACCCCATATTCAGTAAGAATCACTCTCCAGTTCCTCCTCCCTCAAGCCCCTGTAACTACTAATCTCCTTTTTGTCTCTATGGATTTGCCTATTCTGGACATTTCATATAAATGGAATCATGCAATATGTGGCCTTTATAGTTGGCTTCTTTCATTTATCATGTTTTTGAGATATATTGATGTTGCCGCATGTACCACCACTTCATTTATCTTTATGATTGAGTAATATTGTATGGATATTGTTTGTTTAATCTTTAGTTGATAGACATTTCAGTTATTTTCATTTGTTGGCTGTTATGAATAATGCTGTTGTGAACATTCAGGGAAAATATTATTTTTATAATTAGAGGAAAAAGTTATTTTCTTATAAGAGCTCAGACAAGGAAATTAAATAACAAAATCCTTAGAAAATGATAATATTGAGCCTTGACTCTAGGGAGAAAAAGACAATTTATTACTTTGTACATTATTAAATTTTTGTTGAGTGTCCACTGTAGCTTTTCCAGTATTATGCTAGGAAAAGATATTTCAAGGGATTTATAGCTAACTTCATGACTATAAGTGAATCCTCCCTTGAAATGTCAGCTTTGAACATTCCTAGTTAGATTCAAGGGCTGCCTTGGATTTCTTAGACATAAGACATCCACGTAAGGCCCTGTTAAGGGCAGTGGAAGCTGTAGTAGCACTTTCCACTTGTTTACTGAGGATAGGAAGTCAGACTGCTTTCATAACCCCCAGAATTATGAAGAGATATTTATTAAATTGTGACTGTTTCACCACTCACCTCAGTAGTACGAAGAACTGTCATGTAATTTTTATACCAGAGGTAATTTTTATATCTTTTAAGTATATTTTGAAGACAGACTATATGGCTAATTACCTATCTAGTGAATGTAAAAATAAATAATGAAATGCTTTTACTTTAAAAGCATATTATATACCTTTAAAAAACAATGGTTTGGGAAAGTGGGGAAGAATTGTAGAAAAAGACATAGGGCTGTAAGAGGCTAGGAAAACCTTTGCACCTAGCAGAGAGAGAAAGGAGAGAAGTTCCTATAGGATTGCACAAGAAGAGAAACATAATTCATACCCTTACTGTCTTTTTAATCAACATACTACTGCCAGCCCTCAGATTAAGGCAAGTTAAGCAGTCGTATCACCTTACTCATCTTCATCTTCTTGTGGGCTTATAAAAGACGATCTCTGTCTACTAAATTAGAAAGCTACAGTACTGCCTTAAATTGCTCAAAGTGTGGGAGTATGGGAGTATAAGGCAAAACTGTGAACCAAATAACTGATTTTTTTCATCTTCTAAGATCTTATTTACTAGACAAGATTGAGAAACAAGCTAATTCGACTACTACTTAAATTTAGTGGTTACCTCACCCTACCTCTGAGCTTCTGCTTTACTCTTAACATTTTGCTCCTTTCTTGTAGGTAGAGGTTAAAGAAACCAGAAAGATGAGCTATCATAATTTTCACATTTTATTGTAATGACTTCTTTCAGGCCTCTCTCCCCCACTAAACTTGATGTGAGGATAGAAGCTAAGTTTTTCACTGCCAAATCCCTAGTACCTACCATAGTAACTCAATATCTGTTTGTTGAATGAATGAGTGAACCTGGTTTATTATTTTGGAATACATATCAACCTTTTATATTTGCTTTTGTCTTTTTCAGATATGCAACCGTTGTCTCCAATATCTGTCCATGAACGCTACAGTTCTCCTACCGCAGGGAGTGCTAAGAGAAGACTTTTTGGGGAGGACCCCCCAAAGGAAATGCTTATGGACAGGATCATAACAGAAGGAACAAAATTGAAAATTGCCCCTTCTTTAAGCATTACCGCTGAAAACCTATCAATTTCACCTGGGCAACGTCTTCTAACAATGACCACAGCCATAGTAACAGAGACAACAGGACATAAAGTTACAATCCCATTGCACGGTAACATTTTAATGCATTTATTTTATGTTTTTTTCTGATTTGGATAAAGAGTTAAGAAATGCCTTACTGGACTAAATCATGTGGCCTTTCTAATCCAGAATTTTTTAATTTTTATTTTTTAGAGTAGAAAACACAGCGATTTCCTATATACCCTCTCCCCATCATATACACACAGCCTCCCTCACCGTTAGCATTCCCGCACCAGAATGGTACATTTGTTACAATCGATGAGCCGATGTTGATACATTATCATCACCCCATATCCATACTTTATATTAGGGTTCACTCTAGATATTGTACACTCTATGGGTTTTGACAAATGGCTAATAACACATATCAACTATTATAGTATTATACAGAATAGTTTTACTGCCCTAAAAATCCTATGTCCCACATTTTCTTTTAAACCTATACATTTTTTTTTAATTTTTGCATTTTATAATTTACTACCCTTTTTATTAGGACTTATTTTCTTATCTGAGCTTTACAAATGAGTATATTGAACAAGAATTTTAAAAAAATTTTTTTTTTTTTTTAGTCGAAGCAACCCTTGGTTGACCTCACCGATTGCAAGGACCTTGTCAACTTACAACACCTTATTTTTTATTTTTTACGCCTACAGCACCTGGTCTTCCCAGGTGGTCTCCCATCCAAGTACTAACCAGGCCCAACCCTGCTTAGCTTCTGAGATCAGAT